CGACTGACGGGGACTCCCCGAAAGTGAAAGGGGGTGGGCCTGGACCACAAACTCTCGGCCAGACGATGCCTCAGTTTCCCTTCTCTCGCGCCCATAACCCCGAGTCTCCTCGCTTTCGAGGGCAAGGGGAAGGCTTGAGGGGCTAAGCCTGGTGCCCCGAAGCCTGGAAGCTCCCGCTCGCCCCCGCTCCCAACACAGGAGTCCCCACCCCCACCATCCTCTGCCTACGTGCCGTCTCTCGCGATTCTTTCAGTGCCGAGTGGAGGGGCCTGGGGGTTCCAGACGCCTGGGTCACCCCGAGGGTTTCTGCGGCTCCGGCAGCCCCGCCCCCGTCCCGGTTCACCCGCTCCTCCGAGCCTTGGCTCCGTTCCTCCTCGCCGAGCTTGCCTGGCTCGGTACCAATCTCCCCAGCTCTCCCCCGGGTGTCCTTGCAGCTACCTCGCCAGTCCGCCCCTCTGTGCGCCCTCCTCCCGTGACCTGCACTTCAAGAAGGGAGCTGGGCACTCCCCCATGACCGCCTACGCGGCTCAGAAATCGGGCCCCACGGGCTCTGGAGACCCTCTGCCGCGAGGAACTCAGACGCACTACACGGCTGGACACCCGCACGGAGACTGGGGGTCGTACCATCTACGAGGGGGTACGGGGAACTCGGCCGCAAGCGCCAGGCGAGGAGAGTTGTGAGGGTTAGCCTGTGGTCCCAGTCCCGGTGCGACAGGCGGGAAGTCCCTCTGGCCTCGCTCCCGTCCGCTCTCAGCTCCCCTAGGGGGAGGCCCCTCCGCAGCCCACCCTCTGAGTGGGACCCAGCCCCCACGTGAGTCAGCCTGCCTCACCAGCTCCCTGGCCCCCTCCCCCATTTCCTTGGTTTGGTACCGAATATCCCCCATCCCAGGCGGGTTACCTGGCTGAAGGGGAGAGGCTGAGCCTCAGGGAGGGCTGGGCCCCCGCGAGCCAGCAGATTGACAGACAGACAGATGGGTCAGTGACAGACCGGCCGGCGCTGGGCCAAGGCGAGGCCCGCGCGAGGCGAGCGGCAGCTGCAGCAGCAGGTGCTGAGTCAGCGTCAGGCCCAGTCCCACCCCCACTCCTGAGGGGGCGCCCCTACCCTGGGGTCACCTTAATGCCCCCCACATTCGCAAACCCACCGCCCCTTCAGCAGCTCTGCCTGTCTCCCTTTGTCCTCTGCGTTTCCATGTATCTCTCCCCTTCCTCTTCCTTCTCCCCTCCCCCCATTCTGGTTGCGCTGTAGAGTAAGAATTAAGCCTTTAAATAAATTTCAGTCAATTAAACTGAAAGCTAGTTAGAGAAAGCAGAAGGGACCCACACCCCAGCTTCCTCTGGGGTCAAAGAGAGGGGGGAGAGAGCTTGCTTAGAGGGTCAGGGAGCTGGGGCCCTGGGACCCTCTTCCTTCCCTCCATCCTCCTTTCTTTCTCTCCTGATCCCGCCAAGTGTAGCAATGTTTCTGGGAACAGAGATGTCATGTTCCAAGATGAATGTCTCTCTCTCCAGAGCCTCAGCTCAAAGGCATCGTCCGTCACCAAACTGTTCTGCCGCCAGGGTTTCTACCTCCAGGTGAATCCCGATGGGAGCATCCAGGGCACGCCAGAGGACACCAGCTCTTTCGGTGAGAGGGGAGTCCAGCTGCTGGGTGGGAAGGGAGAGCGCAGGCATAGGAGATGACAGTCCTATTGTGGCTTCAGGTTCTGTTGTTTTCAGTCTGGCTCTTTGACCCCGCAAAGGAAGAAGTAGAACTGGGACCAGAATTGAGGGGGGGGCTCAGATGGGGATTGGAGGCTTGGGGTACTGATACCCCTTCTCTCCACCCCCAGCCCACTCCAACCTGATCCCTGTGGGGCTCCGTGCAGTCACCATCCAGAGTGCCAGGCTGGGTCACTACATGGCCATGAGCGCTGAGGGGCTGCTCTACAGCTCGGTGAGACAAGGGGGCAGAGTGGCCTGCAGTCAGGGGACTCCCCTAGCTACAGCCTTCCCAACTACAGATATTTTGCAGCTCAGGGCTTCCTCTCCCTCCAGCTCTTGCCGACACCCTGTCCTCACCGCCCGCTCCCAAGCACCTCCTCTAGCGTCCCTCCAATCCCTTCTCCTCCAATAGCCTCCTAAATACCCCCAGGCTCTTTGAATATCCAACTCTTTCAACCTTTTAGGACCCCTGTGTCTTCTCCAACCTCCTCTAGACCTCATGATGACTCACTTCCCCAGAGTCATTCAGGATGCTGGGGAAGGATTCAGGAACTCCTCCAAGCAGAAATTCCCTCCAGGTGCCCTGGATGGTGAGGGGTTGGGAGTAGAGCAGAGAGAAGTTATCTTCTTATTCCAGGCCCCCAGAAGTCTAGTTCCCGGCCCTCGGGGGGCCACCAGACTCTTCCTCATCCTCCCTTTCTCCCCGTTCCTGCATGGACTCAGAAGTTGGCTCTCCCAGTCTCAAACGTATGGATTATATCCTGCCTTGTTCTTCCCAGGGCTCCCTTCTGTTCAGTGATGTGTCTTTTTGTCTTTGTGTCTGTGTGTCCATTCTTTCTTTTGAGGAGGTCTCTCTAATCCATTCTTTTAACGCTTTAAGGAGTGCGTCTTTGAGAATTACTATGTCCTGTACGCCTCTGCTCTCTATCGCCAGCGTCGTTCTGGCCGGGCCTGGTACATGGGCCTGGACAAGGAGGGCTGAGTCATGAAGGGAAATCGAGTCAAGAAGACCAAGGCAGCCGCCCACTTTGTGCCCAAGCTCCTGGATGGTGAGTATGGACCCCCAGGGAAGAGGTGGACCACATGGGATGGTATTGACCTTGACATGGACATTTAATGACACACAGCTAAGGGGCTATAAGTGTTTTAAGAGGACACATGCTATGACAGGTCAAGCCAGGAAGGCTTTGGCCTTTGGAGGTTTGGGAAGCTCTCCTTCTGTGGGTTCCCAGAGGAGGGGTGTAGGGGAAGGGAGCCCTTTCAGAGCTCTCCTGGTGCCTAACTCTCCTTCCTGCTCCTCTCTCTCCCCTTCACAGTGGCTGTGTGCCGGGAGCCTTCTCTCCACAGTCTCCCTGAGACCTCCCCTTCCAGTCCCCCTGCCCCCTGCCATGTAGTCCCCGGACTGGAGGCTCCCTGCACTCGCCGCCACCACAGCCTGTCTCCCAGCCCTGCTTCTGGCCCTCACCCCTGCTGCCACACTCATGCCCTGAGCAGCCATGTCCCACCAGGTGCTCTACCCTGAAGGAGCCTAGGGGCCGGCCATGACTTCCGGGGCTGCTGAGACCCTTAGATCCTTGGGCCCGGGAAAGGGGTCAGAGAGGGGGATGTCTGAAAATGGTCCTGGCTGATCACTTCTTTCCTTCCACACTCACACCCTCCAAAGCCTTTTCCCGAGATGGCGCGGGGGGTTCCAAAACTGACAAAACCAGGGCATAAATCTTCCCCACGCCGGGCTCAGCCAGGTCCTGGAGCCCTTTGCCCTTTTCATGACCACCAAGCCACAGACTTATAGGTCCACTGCAGCTCAGGATTAGTTTCCTTCTTTCGCTACTCCACCTTTTGCCTTGTTCCAGACAGGTTCTGGAACACCAGGCACCCCAGCCAGGGCCATTTCTGCACCCAGGGTCTGTGCTGGAGCACAGGCATGCTGCCAGGCTCTGTTCTGGATCCATCAGGCTTCAGTCCTTCACCCAGATGGACCCCTGGTTTCCAACTAGAGAGAGGCTGGATTTGGGCCCTGTCCAGCTGTTGGTCTTGGCCTGAATTGGGCCAGTCTCAGATCACCACACGTTTAACTTTCTTACCCCAGAGACACCCAGTTCTAGAGCGTGGTGTTCTAGACACATACGGAGCCATACTTCCTTCTGAATCTCAGCTCTAGGACATAGACCACGACTCTCAGCCCTTCCTTTTAGGATGGAACTAGAGCCTATATAGGCATGTTATTGGTCTAGAGTAAGAGTTCTAGACCCACGCTCCCACCTTCTCTCGTGATACCTGTTAAGCAGGAGCTCTGGAAAGGACCCAGCTATGATTCACAAAGAACTAAGTTCTGGATGGATCATCCAGAACTTCTTGTTTTCCCTAGACAATTTCCCAGAAATCTCATTCTTCCTATAGAATGCTAACCTTATTTTTTACGTGCAGTTTCTAGCTCCTGCAACTCAGCTGGGGCCCTGCCAGGGAACAGAGGCTGAGGAAGGGCAGAGGAGTTTTGGAAGGAATCCCTGGCTCATAGAAGGGCAGCTAGGATGGGAAAGTGGCCAGAACCATGGCATGACTGGACCTGTGCCTGGGTTGGGGGGACATGAACACTTAGCTACCTCAGCAGGTAGCAGGAATTCCTTCCAGGTCCCCTTTAAAGCTGAGGTCTTTAGGGTAATGGGTCTAGAATAAAAAAGGCAAATGGGACATAGCTTTGAACCCCCTCAAATGAGGAGACAACAATTCAGCAATAAGTCCCACCCTTCTCCCCTACAGGTCAGGCCAAGGAGGGTGAGGGCTTCTTGGTCTCTAGACCTCATACACCCCTCCAGCTTTTAACTGAATAGAACTTGCTTTACCTCAGCTGGGTGTTAGGTACCCAAAAAGGCTCTGCTCCCAGGGGACCAGTCTCCACTCCATGCTTTCTCAATTAAAGACGATTTATACAATTGAAGTGTTGTCTGCCATCTATGGGTAGCAGGCTTTGGCAGTCGCTCAGGGAGGGATCAAATCTCAGGGGTGGGGCGGGTAGGCTGGCGGCTGCCCCCCAATAACAGGTGCACATCCCTGGGCGCCTCGTCACTTCCCCTGTGCTGGCTGTCCTGGCGGCTCACCCAAGCGGACTCACTGAGCGACTGCGGGCGGGCTATGACCCCAGGGGCGCTGCTGCTGCTGCTGCTGCTGCTGCTGCTGCTGCTGCTGCTGCTGCTGCTGCTGCTGCGGGCGTTGGGGGCGCCGTTCGCCCCGGGTAAGTCTGGGCCTCAAAGGGGCAGTGACAGGGCCAGAGGTCGTGGCCGGGCACCACGGCTTCACTCAGTTCTCTCTTCCTCCAGGCGTCCGCGGCTCAGAGGCGGAGGGCCGACTCCGCGAGAAACTTTTCTCGGGCTATGATAGCTCGGTGAGGCCGGTGCGGGAGGTGGGAGACCGCGTCGGGGTCAGCATTGGTCTCAGCCTATCGCAATTAATCAGCCTGGTGAGGGCGCACGCGGGGAGTTGAGGTCTGGCCCACTAGCCGGCTGGGGGGCGTGGCTTTAGGCAGGGCGGAACCCAGGGACTACTGGGGGCGGGGTCCGGGGCGAGGCCAGGCTGGGTGACTGACGGGCCGTTAGTAGAGATCGGGTCGAAATCGGACCAATGGACAAGCTGTGGGCGTGGCTGCTGGACGGGCCTGGATTGAGCCGGGCAGGATGATGAACGGGCCTGTGGGCGGATCTCAAATTGGAGCTGGGGCCGATGGACAGGCCGGAGAGCGGACCTTGAGGCGGGGTCACAGGCTGGGGCGGACCTTGGTGCCGGACAGGGTCAATAAACAACAGCGGGCAGAGATTCACCCCGGCCGGGGCCGGGACTGGTAAATGAACTGGCTGACTGTACGGCCAGCAGGTAGTTTACGAGATAGAGGCGGAGCTTAAGCCAACGCAGTTTATAGGAGGTGGGGCTTGAACCCAAGAGGGTGCGACTCAGAAAAAGAGGGGAGTTTCCAGGGAGAGTTTACCCACCGAGCCCCTCATTTCTCTACACTGACATCATATCTGCCCTTTAAACTTTTCCCTGCTAGAACGAGAAGGATGAGGAGATGAGCGCAAAGGTCTACTTAGACCTGGTACGGAGACCCCCGCAGGGTGGGAAAGGGCGAGCGTCCCGCTGCCTTTACAATTTCCTCGAATGTTCCACCCAGTAAGATTTTTTTTTTTTTTTTTGCATCACGACCTCAGAAAACACATTTATAACTGAAACGGAAGCTTCAGGAAACAATACCTATCTTTACTATGCGAGCTGCATTCCATGCATTTTTCATTCTAAATTTTTTTTAACACTGGTTTGGGGCCACCCATTTGATTCCGGACCTATGAAAAGCGTCGTTAACTGCAGTTTGAAAACCACTGTTTTAGAGGCTAGCGTGCAACCCCCTCGTTTTTACAGAAAGAAGAAGTTGGGGCCCGATGAGAGAGAAGGGGAGATTAGTTGATAGGGTCCCAAAGAGTGCAGGTGGAGTCTTAAACAGAGCCCCGGCCCCCAGAACCGCAGACCGTGCCTGCGCGGCTCTCCCTTGCATTCCCTGCCCGGGCTTCCTTCGCACATCCCAAGACTCCTTGCAGCCTCCAGCCCCAGACGGCCCCTCAGCCTCTGCTTGCCTAGGAGTGGACTGACTACAGGCTGAGCTGGGACCCTGAGGAGCACGAGGGCATCGATTCACTCCGCATCACTGCCGAATCCGTGTGGCTACCAGACGTGGTGCTCCTAAACAAGTAAGGATGTCCCCAGAGTCTGGGAGGTGGGGCAGGGCCTCTGGAGGGGCGCGGCCTCCGGAGGGAGGGGCCTGATCCCAGATGAGAAGATTCTTTCCCGGCAGCAACGACGGAAATTTTGATGTTGCTCTGGACATCAGCGTCATGGTGTCCTCCGACGGCTGCGTGCGCTGGCAGCCCCCGGGCATCTATCGCTGCAGCTGCAGCATCCAGGTGTCCGGGCCCCACCTGGGAAGCTCAATGCGCTCCTAGAAACCCTCACTCAGATATCCCTCCTCCATTATCCCCATGACCCTCACGTCTCTCTTACCCTTCTGATTTTCTGTTGAGTTTCATCTTCTCTGTCCACTTTCATTGACTTCCAGTCTTCCTCAGTGACCGCCCCCCTCCATTGTCCATGACCTCCCCGCATAACCTTCTTATTCCTCTGTGACTCCAGTTCTCTGTGATCTCCCCCTGGTGGTCCCTATCTCCCTAGTGCCCCATATCCTCTGACCCCTGTCTGCCCTGTGACCTCCCCAACTCCCCCCGCCCTGACCAGCTCTCTGGCAGCTCTAGTGACTCTCCACTCCATCCAGGTCACCTACTTCCCCTTTGACTGGCAGAACTGCACCATGGTGTTCAGTTCCTATAGCTATGACAGCTCAGAAGTCAGTCTGCAGACCGGCTTGGGTCCCGATGGGCAGGAGCGGCAGGAAGTGCACATTCATGAAGGCACCTTTATTGGTGAGTAGGCTTGACTCCCATGTCCATGGGCTTTACGATTTCCAGTTTCTAACAGGCTGATAAATATACTCCCTCAGTGAGTCCCTGTGGGTTCAGCAAGATAGGTATAACTGTCTATATTTTGTGGTTATGGAAATTGAGACTTGCTCAAATTTATTAGAGATGGGCTGTCCAGCCCAGGGACCATAGCTAGCCCCTTATTACATCAGTCCCCCCTGCTCTAGGATGTGGCAGAGAAAGCCATATCTGGGAATTCCCTGGCGGTCCAGTGATTAGGACTCCACACTTTCACTGCTGAGGGCCCAGGTTCAATCACTCGTTGGGGAACTAAGATCCTACAAGCAGCGCGGTGGTACAGTGAGGCAAAAAAAAACAAAAACAAAAAAAAAGAAAAGAAAGCCGTATCTGGCGCCAGCAAAGACAGGTTCCACATCTGTGTCACCTTCTCTTTTCCCCCACTCCCCCCAAGAGAATGGTCAAGGGGAGATTATTCACAAGGCTTCTCGGCTAATCCAGCCTCCAGTGGATCCTAGGGGAGGGGGGGAAAGACGGCCTGAAGAAGTCACCTTCTACCTCATCATTCGCCGGAAGCCTCTCTTTTACCTGGTCAACGTCATTGCCCCATGCATCCTCATCACTCTTCTGGCCATCTTCGTTTTCTACCTGCCACCAGATGCAGCTAAGAGGGGAAGGGGCCCAGCACTGCTTCTTACCAATGGCTCAGGTTCTTGCTCTTCACCCATAATACAGGGAAGTTTTTCCTGCCAGCTCAAGCCTTCATGAAATGTGCTTCAGCAATCTCACCCAGGTTTTCCTTTCAGGAAGAGCCTTTGCCTCTGCGTCCAGATTTCCCCTCCAACCTCAAGCTTTACCTCCCCTCTGCTGCTCACTTCTCTGCATCCAGTAACTTCTGAACTCTTCCCTTCAGAATCCTAGGATCTCATCCTTGGAACTGCCACTCCTCTGACCAACAAACTCCCAGGCTTAGCTAGCGCTTCCTTTCCCTTTCCCCATTCCTGGCATCCTCCCTCCCCCACTTGTCAAATGCCGCCTACTAGTCCCTTAACCTCCTATGTCCCTTGGGAATAATAGCCAACATTTCTCTGGGAGACAGCACAATATGCTAACAGAGTAACCCTGGGCAAATTCCTTAATCTCTTAGTGTCCTGATCTGGAAATAGGACAGTCGTTGTCCCTCCCACATCGGACTATTTTGAGGATTAACTGAGTTAATAGAACTATGCCTTGTGCTCTGTAAGCTTTGTGTAAGTGTAGGTATAGTCTTTTCTAATTTGGAGCACTTGCTATAAGATAATACAAATAATGTGTTACATACATTAACGCAGTTCTAATCTTCACAACTCTGTGAGGTAAGTACTGAATTGTCTGCCCGTTTCACAGAGGCTAAGTGAGTTTAAGTCAGTCAGCTGACATTACACAGAGAGAGGCAGTGTTGCTATTCCAACCCTGCTTAGTACTAGTCTGATTCAGAGACTGATATCCTAAACTCTCATATTCAAAACATGCTTTCCTGGGAGTTCTCTGGTAGCCTAGTGGTTAGGATTTTGGGCTTTCACTGCTGTGGCCTGAAAAAGAAATCAAAACAAACAAAAAGCACACGCTTTCCTTCTCTCTGTAATCAAGCCCTCTCTCAGCCTAGGGAAGGAGAGTGATGCCTCTCTAGAACACACTTGCACACGCAACTTCTTCCTGGAGCAAGGCAACTCTTGGAACCCAATATTACAGGCACTAAAGTAGAACAGACCATAATAGTTATTTATTTCAATACCTTCCGTGAAGTTTGCAGTGCCTGTGGTATGCCACAGTAATAACCAGCCATCTGGCATATACTTGGTTTCATTTTTGCCACAGTAATAACCAGCCATCTGGCATATACTTGGTTTCATTTTTAGATCCTTCGATTTGTTATACAGTTCCTGCTACAGGGGTTGGTCCATTCATTCATTTAACAATATTTGTCGAACATCTGTAATGTGCAAGGCACTGGGAATACATTAGTGAATAAAACAGACAAAAATCCCTGCTCTCATGGAGTTTATATTCTAGTGGGGGAGACAGTCAGTAAACATAATAAATAAACCCATTGGATAGTATATTATTATTTTTTTAAATTAATTAATTAATTTAGGCTGCATTGGGTCTTCATTGCTGCGCGGGGGCGTTCTCTAGTTGTAGTGAACAGGGGCTACTTTTGTTGCAGTGCACGGGCTTCTCATTGCGGTGGCTCCTCTTGTTGTGGAACACGGAATCTAGGCGAGCGGGCTTCAGTAGTTGTGGCTCGCGGTCTCTAGAGCACAGGCTCAGTAGTTGTGGCGCACAGGCTTAGTTGCTCCGCGGTATGTGGGATCTTCCCGGACCAGGGCTCGAACCCACGTCCCCTGCATTGGCAGGCGGATTCCTAACCACTGTGCCACCAGGGAATTCCTAGATAGTATATTAGGAGAGGTCAATTCCTAAGAAGGAAAAATAGGAAAAGGGTTTGGGGAGGATGAGAATGGGGGTAGGGGTTGCAACTTATTTATTTATTTAAACAATTTTATTGAAATATAGTTGATTTACAATGTTGTGTTTCATTTCTGCTGTACAGCAAAGTGACTCATTTACAGATATATAAAAATTTTTTCATATTCTTTTCTGCTATGGTTTATCACAGGGGTTGCAATTTAAAAATAGGATGGTCAGTGAATGCCTCACTGAAAAGGGAATGTTTGATCAATATTTGAACAAAGACTTGTAGGAAGTGAGAGAATGACCCTGGTAGATATCTGGGGGAAGAAATTACCAGGAAGAGTTAACAGTGAATGCAAAGGCTCTGAGGTGGGCGTGTGCCTTGCATATTCAAGAAATAGCCAACGTAACTGAACGAAGTAAGCAAGAGAGAAAACAGTATGAGATGTAGTCAGAGAGCTAATGGGAAGGCCTTGTAGACTTCAGTAAGGACCTTTATGCTAAAGGCGATGGGAAGCCACTGGAGTGATATGATCTGATTTACGTTTTAACGGGATCAATCAGGCTGCTCTGTTGAGAACAGTCAGCAGGGGGGCAAAGGATGAAGCAAAGAGGAGGCCTTTATAATAACTCAGATCTGAGGTAATGGTGGCTTGTGCCAGGATGGTAGTGGTAGATGTGATAAGTCATTTCAGTTTCAGGATATATTTCGAAGGTAGAGCCAACAGGGTTTGGTATGGGTTGGATATGGGGTGAGAGAGAGGAGAGCTGAGAATGACACAGGGATTTGGCCTGAGCCCCAGGAAAGATCGAGTTGTCATTTGTGAACTGAGGAGGACTATGGGGGGAGCCGGTGGTGAGGGAATTAAGTTTTGGACATGTGAAGTTCGAGATGTCTAGTGGACACCCAAATGGAGAGGTTAAGTGGGCAGGTGGATACAAGTGTGGAATTTAGGGGAATCGGTCCAGGTTGGAGGTATAAATGTAGGAGTTACCTGCATGCAGTTGGCCCTTCCAAAAGCCTGTCCTCGAGTGGGCTGGAAACACGGTCACTGATTATGCCCGGGAGATTGCTTTCTGGCAGAGCCTAACCCTTCCGCCTTCCCCTCTGTCCCCCAAGGAGAGAAGATGGGGCTCTCGGTCTTTGCCCTGCTGACCCTTACTGTGTTCCTGCTGCTGCTGGCAGACAAAGTGCCTGAGAGCTCCCTGTCTGTCCCCATCGTTATCAAATACCTCATGTTTACTACGGTCCTCGTCACCTTCTCAGTCATCCTTAGCGTCGTAGTCCTCAACCCGCACCGTCGCTCACCCCACACCCACCAAATGCCCCTTTGGGTCCGTCAGGTAAGAAGATCTCCTCTCCAGCCTGTGTTAACGCTCAATCCTAGTATTTGGCTTTTTGTCCAGGTATCGCTCCTCCCTCCCACCAACTTCAACCTTCCCTTTCACAGACCTGAGGGAGAACTACAACTCCCGGTAGAGTGTCAAAGTGCCAAGGTCTTTGGGTGTTGAAATGTTGCCCAATTAATTTTATCCTCCCATCAATGACGTTGCGTAGATCCCAGGCTCTCTTCATCAATACTGCCCATCATGGGTCCCAAGGAAGCATTCTAAGGGTTAGGTACTATCAGGGTGGAAGCCCTCAGAACTTTTCTTTCCAGTCAGGATGCCTCCTAACCCACTTAAGAACTCTTGGGCTGTGTAGTAGCATTTCGTCTGTGAGATGCATGCATGCATGCGCAGGAATGGGCACGTGCCGTGGGGGTGGTTGGAGGCTTCCCTTCTGGTCTGAGAGCATAAGAGCCCCCTCCAATACGCCTCTTCTTCTACTCTGCACATCTTTATCCACAAACTCCCTCCGTATCTGGGTCTGAAGAGACCCAAACCTGAGAGAGACCAGATACCAGAGCCACCTCCTATACCTCTCAGGGATTCTCCAGGAAGTGGCTGGGGTCGGGGAACAGATGAATATTTCATCCGTAAGCCACCAAATGATGTTGATAGTCCGCCTGACGATGCAGGGGACACAGGTTCGTGCCCTGGTCCGGGAAGATCCCACATGCCGTGGAGCAGCTGGGCCCGTGAGCCATGGCCGCTGAGCCTGCGCGTCCAGAGCCTGTGCTCCGGAACGGGAGAGGCCACAACAGTGAGAGGCCCACGTACCGCAAAAAAAAAAAAAGATAAAGAAAAGAAAAAGAAAACAGCGATGGACCAACTTCCCAGCCAGCCAGCGGGAGGTACCATCATGGGACGTCCTGCTCTCTGACGCTGGCCCTCCTGACCCTCCCTTCCCCAGCCCTCCTCTCCTACAGGAAGTGGAAGGGGACATAACCAGGTATTTGGGGAGCGAGGTGCTGGGCTGGGAGCAGAAGGGGACACACAAAGGGACTTAGAAGGTGAGAGACAGGAAGGAAGCACCTGGCCTTGACCCTGGGTGGGGTCAGGTACCCTCACTCCCGCAGGCTGCTGACTGCTCCCCTCCCCTCTGCGCCCCAGGCTTCAGGCGCCTGCCACGCCCATTCATAGAGCACCCCTCTCTTATTCTGGTCCAGGCCCTCACTCTGCCCTTCCCCTGACCAGAGGCCTTCCACACAGACCCTCTCATACCAACTGGGCTGAGTCCTTCTTGTCTCCCAGGGTTCGGCCTGAAGTCTCACTCTGCAAAGCCTTCCTGACCTTCCCCCTTCCCCAGTCTGGTTGGTGTCTCCTGGGACCCCTCAGCTCCTGTGCGTGAGACAGCCCCGCTTTGCCCAGCATAACACTGTCCCCGGCGATCGTAACTGCCCTTTGTAGGACCGTCTCCACACAGACTGGCCTCCTGCAGGGATCGGAGAGTCTGTCTCTGGCCACCTCTCCCCCCAGCACCTCCCACCCAGCACAGTACTGGAGCTGCAAACAGAAGCCGGTGGAAGGAAGGAGGCTCCCAGGAGCCCCTACCCAGAGGACACACCACCTGGCCTCTCAGTGAACTCCTGGTTCAGCCCCTCTTCCCAGCACCCCAGGCCAGATTCCCTTGGTGGCACACTACAAGCCCCCAAGGCCAAAGCTGCAGGTACCACTTCCCACACAAGAAAGCTAACTGGGAGTCCCAGGCTGGGGGCTGAGCATCCCTAGCAGATGAAGTGGTCCAGAGCAGCTGGGAACATCTGGATGAGAGAGAGGCCGTCAGGAGCGCAAAGTGCCCCGCCAAAATGGCTCATCAGTGGAGCTGAAGCCAGCGGGGCCTGGAGACATCCAACCTGCCAGCTAAAACGCTCCATGAATATTTAACAGCCTTCAATATTTAATTAGTGCAGACAGATTAACTCGGAAATCGCACACACTTGGGCTGGGGGAAGGGGGAGTGTTAGAAGGAGAGGGGTGGGCTCGAGGAGGAGGCCGTGCTTATTGCATAGGGCCAGGGAGGCAGCTCACCTTCCCTCCCTACCACCCCTAGCCCCCTCTCCCTGCAGAAAGCAAGTGACACTGAGAAAAGTCATAGGGAAAGGGAAACTGGGAGAAGCCAAGGGAGAGGTCTGCATCTCAGGCAAGATTTGAGTAGGGTGGGGTGAGAGTAGTGTTGGGGTGCTCACCCTCCACTGGGCCTGCTGGACCCCAGCCCGACTTCCGGCAGCAGGTGTCCATGTGTGATTACATCTGCGCCTTTGGCATTCCCGGATTATGCTGTTTGTTTATTGTATCGCAACACTCCCATGAGTCTTTTATCCCCTTTGAGCTTCTCCGAGTTTTATCACATCTTGTGCCATTTCTTATTTAATAGAGTTTCCCTGAACTTCATCATCTGGTAATATAAATGCATCATCGATGTCTCTTTTTTGTCTAAACATTTGGTCAGGGACTTGTAAAATGTCAGAGCCAGACCTGGGCTCAGGCTGCCTGTCTATGCTGGGGGTAACATTCCAGCACAAAGCGGGCTTGGGTTCCATGAATGGACCAGCTTGCTTCACACCCTCATGTCTTTGGGCACACTGTACTTTCTGCCTTGAGCATCCTTCCCCTCTTCTCCTTCCCCCAAGAATTCACTCAGAGATCTTTACCCCCTGGGAAGTTTTCATTAACATCATATTTTGTAACCATCTTTTTGCTTCCCCCAGGCTGAGCTCCTCAAAGACAGTAACCCAAACTTCTAAATACATCATGGGAATGGACATGTTGTGGGTGCTTAATGATTTGTTTTTATTTTTAATAAACTGAGGAAAAGAGAGATTTTAAATAGGAACTAGAGTCCTCCAAGCATGTTGTGTCAATGGCTTGTGTACCAGTTAGCTATGCTGCGTAACAAACAACCACAAAAATAATCTCAGTGGTATATTATTATGAATATCTATTCTCAGGGATATTCAGGTCAGTGGAAACTTGGCTGGTCTAAGTCCAGACAGAAAATTCTGTTTCAAACCATGGTGGCTGGGACAGCTCTGATTCTCCCTGAAAGGCTGGAGTTGGCTGGGGAGGCTCTACTCCAGCTGTGTCTCATCCATCCTGGATGAGTAGGCTGGCCGAGGCATGTTCATCTCATGGCAATGTCAAAGGTGCACAAGGAGTTGCCCAACCACACAAGCACATTTCAAGTCCTTGCTTTCTCCATGTTGTTAATATCTCATTGACCAAAGCAAGTCACATGGTCAAGCCCAAGGTCAAGAGGCAGGAAAGTAAACTCCATATGTGAGGAAGCCGTGGCAAGGGTTAGATGAGGTGGGTAAAGACTTTGGGCCAGTGTTTGAATCAATCACAAGTGGGTTCCCACCACACTATGCTCAGGACCCCTCAATGACAGGACCCCAGTGGGACAAGAGCCAGATGAGTCTTACATGCCTCTCCCTCCCATCCTCATCCCCACCCTCCCATCCCCACCCCCTGGGGCATCGGGGTTAACAAAACAGCAACAGACATGAGATGGGAGGTTAAAGAAGCCACTGATGTGAGCCACAAAAAGGAGAGAGAAGGGGACGGAGCCAAAGCTGAAAATCAAAGTCAAGGTCAGTCACATATGACAAAGGACAGAAGTCAGCAATGAGGGCAAATAATGGGCTTAGGCTGAGAAGTGTGGAAAGCAGAGCTTTGGCCCTCAAGTCAGCTCCAGCTCCTGGCGCTGCCTTGGGTGAGTCACTCCCCGCTCCCAGGCCTCAGTTTCCCGGTGTGATAAGGCCTTTGGACTCTAGGAGCCCACATACCCCTGAGGACACTGATGTCCTGTGCCCTCTGGCCCATCATTCCTCAAACTCTGCCCCATTTCTTTCTCTTTAACATGCAAAGTCTGAAATCCTCCCTAAATATCTCAAAGTTACAATCAGACAGTCCTCTGTCTATGGCATCAGAATCCCAAGGCTTCAGGACAAAGGACAGTCACTAAAAGTAGGTCATTGGCAGGTGGATGTCTTTCTCTCTGATGTGTAGAATCAAATCTTGAGAGTTAGAATAAGCAGCTGGTAGAACGGAAAGGAATCCTCTTGGGAATCAGAAAAACGTGGGTCCGAAGTCTACCACTACCATGTGTAGTTGAGTAATCTTGGAGGGATGCATAGACTCTCTGAGCCTCAGTTTCCTGGCCTGTGAAATGGGCTGGTCATGGAAGCACACAGGGCTGCTAGGGGGATTAAATGATAGGACATTTGCAATGTACCTAGCACGGTGCCAGGCCCCATGAAGGAAGTCAACATACGGTAATACAGTACACTTCCTTTCCCTCTTCTATCTCAAGCTCTTGAATCTTCACTGATTCTGTCTCTTCCCTTAAAAGAAAAAAATGTATACATATATATATATGTTTAAACATATATATAATTTTATATGTATACATATATTTAATTATATATAATTATATATATATATATATATATATATATATATATAAAATTAAAACAACTGCCAATGGTTTAATCCTTGCATCTGGACTTGGTGATTCTTTTTCTCTTTGACATCTTTATTGGAGTATAATTGCTTTACAATGGTGTGTTAGTTTCTGCTGTATAACAAAGTGAATCAGCTATACATATACATACATCCCCATATCCCCTCTAGGTGGTCACAAAGCACGGAGCTGATCTCCCTGTGCTATGTGGCTGCTTCCCACTAGCTATCTATTTTACATTTGGTAGTGTATATACAGATATGGTGATTTGAACTGGGTCAGCATTATCCAATTTTTCTAAGTATTCTCTTTCCTACCTTTCATCAACTCTATTGACAGGGCTTCTGTCCCTTTCTAATTGCCCATTCCTCGGATTTCTTTTTCTCTTCCTCATTAAAGACCAATTTTACAAAGCACTTCAGCCGCTCAGCCATTTTTATCATCATCATTAATTTGATTTCCCTTCTCATTTATTAATGGGCCAGGCAGCTCTCAAGGATTCTTTTTCCCCTGATATATTTGTAAAACGCCCTTCTTATTCCCTTTGGTGACCCCAAGACTCTCTATGCCTTTTATTTCCTCCCTTGGCTGCCCTTCTGTTTCTCCGAAGCCTTTGCTGACTTCAGATCTTCCTCTCTGTATCCAGCTCCCCACCTGTCTCCTGTGGCCCTCCCCTGCCCCGCCCTCCCTCCTCAGACATCCTGGCCTCTGAGGCTTCTCCATCTTGAGGCCCCATTAGCAGCAAGGGTTTGTCAGGCTCCTACCCATCCTTGTTCTGCTCCCACCCTGTGAGCAGAGACGCCTTTTCATCTATGCTGGCAACCTGATGGAAGGGACCAGAAAAACCTAGGTCCTTCCCTAGTCCCCACCGTCAGCCTCCATCTCCCCAGGATTCCTGATTAAGGGAGTTATGCACCGGAGCATCCATTCATTCATTTTTCAAAAACAGGATTGAGGTATATTTTACATACCATACAATTCAACCATTTTAAGTGTTTATTCATTAAATTCAGTGATTTTTTCGGTAACTCTACCAAGTTGTGCAACCATCACCAACAATCCAGTTTGAAACATTCTCATCACCCAAATAAGCTCCTTCACACCCATTTACTGTTAATTCCACTTCCCATCCCCATTCCCAGGCAACAACAGGAAGAAGGAAGTAGGCTGTTTACTCTGCATTATCAATAGTGGTTGTGACAATGAAAAAACCACCAATGTGATGCCACCTCTTGTGTTGTCTAGCATAGCAGTGTTACTAATGCACAGGTCCTAACCCCTGTTCCAGGGACACGTGCACCCTCTGCACCCAGGCTCCTTACCTTTCACCATCCACCAGGAATGCACAGAGCTCCAGCCCTCAGTGTTGCCCATCATGGTTGGGAGTTCCTGGCACTTCTCATTCTCCACTACATTCCCTAATAGATTCTTTTAGTTTCTAACATTACTGATCTCTCTAACATGTTCTCCCCACCTTGCCCTTTGAACTTGCTTCTTGGCATTGACCTTCCCAGGCCAAGGAACTTGGCAGTCTCTTGCCTATGATTGGAACTTTGCTCCATCTAAATTGTCTCAGGATACCTTGGGGTCTCATCATCTGTCTCCTCCACCTTCAATCCCTCCCCTTCACTCCGCCCACCTCATTTCAGCCTATGGGGTCATAGATGGAGCCTTTTTATAGGACTGAACACTCTTCAAAGCAAGCCATAGTAACAGATACAGAAAAGCAAAAGACACGATCTTATAAAATATCTCCTATCCCCAAATTATGGTATATGTGGAGTATAATACCTGTAACCCTGTAGGCCAAAAAACAAGTTATTAAATTTAAGTATAGGGTTGAGGTATCTGAATTTCAAAGGCTATCTGTGCTAAGCAGAAAAAAATTGCTCCAAGATTAGGAAGAGAGTTGATACAAATGATGACTGACATAGTACAACCCAGTGGTCCTCAGACTTCTAGATTTTGTAGTTCAGCAAAATTTTTTTTTTTTTTTTGCGGTACGTGGGCCTCCCACCGCTGTGGCCTCTCCCGTTGCGGAGCAACAGGCTCCGGACGCGCAGGTCCAGCGGCCACGGCTCACGGGTCCAGCCGCTCCGCTGCATGCGGGATCCTCCCAGACCGGGGCACGGGCCCGCGTCCCCTGCATCGGCAGGCGGACTCCCAACCACTGCGCCACCAGGGAAGCCCCAGCAAAATTTTTA